TTGTTATCAGGAGCCTTGAGTCTAGTTTTCAGCTTTCAGGTCATTTAGATAACCTAGGAGACTTTCGTTTCCAAAGAAAGGACAAGGATTTGACAAGCAAAGACATGGGGAGCAGACTTGGCAATTTTTAAAAAAGCCAAGGGCCGATGGTAATGGAAACACTAAAGCAAGAAGTCAGGGTCACATTTCAAACTTAAATTGTAGAAATGCTAGAGGGAAAAAAATGTTGTGTGAAATTATACATTAAAATGCAAGGGCTCAAGGCCTTTAAATATGTAAATTGTCATTGTACCCTAACATTTCCAATAGGCATTCACGGTCACTTCAGAGGTGCTTATAAGCATAAGAGTGTTTAATAAAGGAGACTATTAAGTTTTTCTCTGACATAGTATTTTCTCCTTTTTTTCTTCGTTGTGTTGTTTGTTCTCTTATTTTTACATTGTCTTTATCTTTTAAGGTCAAGGGAATTGTCTTATTGGTCGCAGTACCTGGCACACAGTAGGCTCTTTAATAAATGCTTGTTGATTGATAGACTGAAGCCCGTGATTGCTGTGGTATAATATAGCCGTAACTAAACTAGGAAAAACAGAGTTGTACTTGCATTCCTTCCCTGCCGTCTCTGAATCTTGATTCACATACCACAACTGTCCCCTAGCTGCCATTACCACAGTCCTCTCCTTCTGTATACCTTCTCCCTTTCCTGCCCTCCACCTTCTACTGCCAACATCTGTAGGTACAAGAGACATACTCTCTGGGACAGACAACTCCCTCCTGGCATGAATATACCAGTAGTCAGACTGACCTTTGTGCCATGGTGTAATATTGAATTTGTCCCTCCTGTATCCCCCAACTCAGTTTTCACTAATTACAGTTATTGCATGGTGAGAAGAACTCTAGATATAGGATTAGATGTCCTGGGTTCAAATCCTGAATCTGCTACTTACTGATTATGTGACCTCAGCTAAATCACCTAATTTGTCTGGGCTTGTTTCCTCATAGGCAAAATAAGGAAGGTAAGATAGAATAAAAAATTACTAACGTTCTGTATAGCTTTAAATCTGATGGCCCAATACAATGATGTACTTTTTTCTAGCTTTAGACTTTTTTTTAATTCTGTAGCTTTTTATTTTTTACAATTATTTTTAAAATTTTGAGTTCCAAAATTCTCTCCCTCTCTTCAGCCCCTCCCCCACTCATTGAGAAGGCAAGAAATATGATACCCACAAAAAAAGCAAGAAAAAATAAAGATAGTGGGAAAAAGTGGGAAAAATGCTTCAATCTGCACTCAGAATTTGTCAGTTCTCTCTCTGAAGGTGGATAACATTTTTAATTACGAGTGCTTTGGGACTGTCATGGATCATTGTATTGCTCAGAGTAGTTAAATCTTTCACAGTTTGATCATAATTACAATGTTGCTAATATTGTATACAGTGTTCTCCTGGTTCTGCTCACTTCACTTTGCATCAGGTGGTTTGCATATAGGTTTTTCTGAAACTCTCCTACTCATCATTTCTTACAGCACAATAGTATTCCATCACAATTATATACCACAACTTGTTCAGCCATACCCTAACTGATGGGCATCCCCACAGTTTCTAATTCTTTGCTACTACAAAAAGAACTGCTATAAATATTTTTATACACGTAAGTTCTTTTCCTGTTTTCTTTGATCTCTTTGGGATACAGAATTGGTAGTGGTATTGTGTGTCAAAGGGTGTGCACAGTTTTATAGCCCTTTGGGCATAGTTCCTAATTTTTCTTCAGGATGGTTGGACCAGTTCACAACTCCACCAAAAGTACATTACTATACCTATTTTTCCACATCCCCTCCAGTATTTGTTTTCCTTTTCTGTTGTTGTAGCTGTTTGATAGCTGTGAAGTGGTACCTCAGGGTTGTTTTAATTTGCACTTCTCTAATTAGTAGCAATTTAGAGCATTTTTTACATGTGACTATTGATAGCATTGATTTCTTCTTCTTAAAACTGCCTTTGAAAATTATTCATGTTCTTTGGCCATTTATCTATTGGGGAATGACTCTTATTTCCATTAATTTCCTATGTATTTGAGAAATGAGGCCTTTATCAGAGAAACTTGCTGTAAATTTTTTTTTCCAGTTTCCTGCTTTCCTTCTAATTTTGGCTACATTGGTTTTGTTGTGCAAAAACTTTTTAATTTCATGTTATTTTGCCTCCCATAATTTTCTTTATCTTTTATTGGTCATAACCTCTCCCTTTGACTATATATCTGACAGGTAATTTTTCCCATGCTCCCTAATTTGCTTATGATGTCACCTTTTATGTCTAAAGCATGTATCTATTTTGAGCTTATCTTGATATATTGTGTGAGATGTTGTTGTAGGCCTACTTTCTGCCAAACTACTTTCCATTTTTCCCAAAAATTTTTGTTGAATAGTGAGTTCTTGCCCCGAAAGCTTGGATCATTGGGTTTATCAAACACTAAATTACTATGGTTGGTTACTTTTGCATATTGTCTAACTAATCTAATCCACTGACCCACCATTCTATTTCTTAGCCAGTATCAGATTATTTTGATGATTACTGTTTTGTAGTATAGTTTGACATCTAGTACTACTAGGCTGTCTTCTCTTGGCTTTTTTTTTTCATTGATGCCCTTGATATTCTTGACCTTTTTTTCTTCCAGATGAATTTTGTTATAATTTTTCTAGCTCTATAAAATAAATATTTGGCAGTTTGGTTGGTATGGCAATGAATAAGTAAATTAATTTAAGTAGAATTATCATTTGTAACATATTGACTTGGCCTACCCATGAGCAATTAATATTTCTCCAATTGTTTGGATCTGTCTTTATTTCTGTGAAAAATGTTTTGAAATTGTGTTCACATAGTTTCTGTGTGTGTCTTGGCAGGTAGGATTTCAAGGATTTTATATTGTCTACAGTTATTTTAAATGGAATTTTTCTGAATGATGTATTTTTAAAAGAAAGGCAGTGGCCTGAATTATAACTGAAACAACCTAACAGGCTGCCCTGTTGAATAGCCAAAAAATAATCTGGAAGACTTAGTAAAACAGGAGAAAAGCCTAACAAATCATCTGAGAAATGGTCAATGATTTCCATCTGCTTTTGAGATAAGGAATTAAACTTAGTTTAATTATATTATAGCTCTAAAGTTTTGCAGGTAGGACTCATGACTTTCTCTGTTTCTTCTTACTAAAAAAGGACAACAGTAAGTACTATCCTTAGGGAAATCAGCAAAATGAATAAAAGGAAAGAGATATTTTCCATCATGCAGGGGAGGCTGGGAAAGGGACATTAGAGGACAAAGCTGAGTAAAGGAAAAATATTCCAACTCAGTCCAGTTCAACAAACATCTAGTAAGCATCTACTTGCATGCAAGGAACTATGCTCAGCACCGAGAATACAAAAACAAAATTTAAAAGTCCCTGACCTCAAGGGTCTTATATTCCACAGTCCACATTCCTTTAGGCTGATTGGTATTCTCTAGATATCAATATTTGTCAAGAAAATTATTCCCTACCACCAGAGGAGGACCACAGACAATGGAGAGAAGGATGCACTGATCTCTAATCCTAAAGTAGAGAATTAAGCTCAAGGTTATAGGTTCTTGAGGATAGTAATAATATCTATGTTTCTTTGTTTTCCCCAGAACAGTGGTGTCAAACGAACCCATCCATAAGGATCTCTGTGGGCTGTGTGTTGCCTTAGTTTTAAAATGTAATATTATCTACATTTTATTCCTTTTTTATTTTGTTAAATATTTCCCTTTAATATTATTACATAATTATATTAATTTTGTCCCTTTAATATTAAGTTTTAACTGGTTTGGGCCACATTTGAGAGTGTTACGGTTGGCATGGTATGTTTGATACCTTGCCCTAGAGTATAATAGCACGGTGCCTTGTATGGAGTAGGTAATGTACAATAATTACTCTTTGAACAAATGAATGAAACTTTTAAAAATTAAGAAATTAAGAAGATAGAAAGTCACTCAGAGAATGGCTCCTGATGACACCCATCATTCAGGATCCTAGAACCTTTAAAAGGCACTTCCAGTGAGTACCAGTCAACTGTGGGAAATAACAATGAAGCAAAAGTACTGGGGGAAACACAAAATATCAGGGAATGTGGGACCATAGATTTAAATCTGCAATAACAACAATTAACAAATGTTCACCATGTGCCAGACACTTTACAATTACTATCTCATTTGATCCTCACAATAACCCTAGGAAGTAGATGCTATTTTTTTCCTCATTTTACAGATGAGGTAACTGAGGCAAACAGAGGATAAGTGACTTGCCCAGGGTCACACAATTAGAAAATCTGAGGCTGGATTATGAACTCAGGTCTTCCCAGCTCTAAACCCCATGCTCCACCCACTGTACCATCTACCTTGCCCTACAAAAGTTGCTAGAAATCATCTGTTTCATCTCCCTCCTCCTTTTATAGGCCAAGAACTTCAAGTTAAGTTGTTGCTGATCAGTTGTTTTGGTCTTCATGACCCCATTTGGGGTTTTCTTGGCAATGATACTGGAGTGGTTTGCCATTTCCTTCTCCAGCTCATTTTACAGATGAGAAAACTGAGGCAAACGGGGTTAAGTGACTTGCCCAAGGTCAAACAGCTAGTAAGTGTCCAAGGCCAGATTTTAACTCAGAAAGATGAGTCTTCCTGACTCCAGGCCTGGCATTCTATCCACTGTGCCATCTAGACTTGCCCAAAATCCAACAAGTAGAGAGGGGTCCTGGCAAGGATTCCAAGCAGGTTTTTTGTCTCCAAATCCAACAGTCTTCCTACTACCCAGGGAAATGACTCCACCTTATGTATCGACTATAAAGAAGGGGAGCTGCATCCAGACCTAGCCACATGCTTCTCTTCCTCAACTCCTACACAGATGATAGTAAATGCCAGCCAAACTCACCAAATAGATTTCATGGCCTTTTCTGGGCAAGATACTAGAAGCAGTTAAATGGTGATGACTCAAAACAGCTCTTTTCAAAGTTTTTAAAAAGTTCACTTTATTGTGTCTAGCAAGGGACAACCAAAGCATGGACTGATGGAAAGCCATCACCCCCCTCAGGAGAGTCAAGATTTGCCCAAAGTTCCTGTGTGAATACAAGCTTCAAGTCCAGGACTCTCAAAGTTTGTGCTGCAGTTTCTCTGTGTGAACAGTTTTACCAGGCAGGGGGATTTCTAGGACTTGCAGTGGAATATCAGGCTTTCCAATCTCTCTCCTGCTCATTGTCAGGCAGGTCTCCGCAAAAGTCATGACTCACTTTCCAAGCTGTAATTTACTGCACCCTCTCTCTTTGTGGTAGCTAGGCTGTTACAAAGAAGGATGGAATATGGCTGATGGAGTATCTCGTGATTTCATTGTCCTCTCTGAGGGAGGGATGCAGGCAGGTGTGGTATCACTGGAGGGCAGGGGGAAGCCAACTCTTCATCATAACTCTTCCTTCTCTTCTTCAGCACAGATGCAGGCTGCCCTCTGACTGTTCATGAATGGTCGGCAGCCCAAGGTCCATACGGTATTGAATATCGTGTCGGCGAGTGAATCACAAGCTATACAAAACAAGTGGAGAAAAGATAGGATGAGACATGGTCCAGGGTCAGCCCAAAGCATAGAATAATTGCTAGGGGACAAGGTAATTTAAGAGATGACATTATTCCCACAAGAATTTTGGCCCAATGACAACCCAAATGGTGAAAAGGTCAGTTGCCCAGCATCTATTAAGTGCCCAAGTCAAGACATCACCCTCCCGATGTCATTGGTTTTCTTCAAGAACGAAGGACAAACAAGAATAACAAATACTCAGCAGATGCCAGGCACTTGCTAAGAACAAAAAAAAAAAAAGATAAAAGGAGTTCCCTGCCCTCAAGGAGCTCACAATCTAATGGGAGGACAACATGCCAACAATATGTACAAGCAAGATACAGGCAAGATAAATTGGAGCTAATCAGCAATGAGAAGGCACTAGAATTAAGGGGGATGGGGAAAGGTTTCTTGTAGAAGGTGGGACTTGAGCTGAGAGTGAATGAAGCCAAGGAAGCCAGGAGGCAGGGACAAGGAGGGAGAGACTTGTAGGCATGGAGAGAAAGCAGGGGCATCCACGTAAATTTGGGATCCTTTAGTTGAATTTGGCAAAGAAACTAGAGCCAACCTACCACCCCTGAACACAGTCACTGTATATCCTTGGGGGCTCAGAACCCCAGAATCTCTGAGGCACAAGGAACCTCAGAGGCCATTTCATCTGACCCACACCTGAGCCAGACTCTCCTGTATATTTTATATGAAAAGGAGTCTTTTAGGCTGGGAGTGAGGTGGTGGGTAGTGGGAATGCTTTTAAGCTTAATCTACAATGTTAAGATTTTCTCTCTCATTTTCTTAAGTCTAGACAATCAACAAGCTCTGACGTATAGTGTTCACCCATTTCTGAGGTTTAAATGCTCTATCCCACCACTCACTGCCTGCCTCCCAAGGTGCTTTAAGATAAAGCTAATTGTTAGGAAGATCTTCCCTTACTTGGAGCCTACCTTTCTGCACCTTCCACGCAGAACAAATCTTTCTTCTACTGGATAGCGCTGTCAAATACTTGAAGGTAGCTATCCTGTTCCCACTAAGCATTCTCTCTTCTAAGCTAACCAACTCACTTCCTTAACTGACAAGTCCTTATATGACATGGCCTCAATATCCATAGTATACTACATCCTTCTGTGGATGCTCTCAAACCTGTCTGTATTTTTACTCACGTAGGATGTTCACACCTGAACACAATACCCTAGTTTGTACATAGTTGTTGGCTTGTTGGCCCCCCCCATTAGACTGTGAGCTCCTTGAGGGCAGGGGATTCTTTTTATCTTTTTTTTTTTTTTTTGGTATTATTGTTGTTCTTAGCACAGTGCTTGGCATATAGTGGGTGCTTAATAAATTCTGGGTGACTGACTTTTTCACCATTTGGGTTAGGACCAAAATTCTGGTGGGCATCATGCCATCCTTTAAATTACATTGGACATGGTCTGACCAGAGTAGGGGATAGCAGGACCACCACCTTCTTATTTATAGAACCATGGAGTTAGAGCTGACCGGGACCCTAGACACTATCAAATCCACCCTCCTCATTTTACAGATGAGGGTCACATAGGCCTTTTAAATGCCAGAAACATAACTTAAACCCAGGGCCTGACTCCAAGTCCACTGCTCTAGACACCATACCAGGCTGGCTCTTTAATCCCTAGACAGTATGCCTCTCTTAAATGCAGTTTTAAAGAGAATTTGTTCATTTTTTTAGCTTCTATGTTGTCTTGTTGATTCATATTAAATTTGCAGTCCAACAAAACCCCCAAATCTTTCGGGTGAACTGATATCCAATCCCATCAAGTGAGGCAATATTAGTAGAAGTACTCAGCACAGTGCTTCACACACGATAGGTGCTTAATAAATGCTTTATCCCTTTCCTGCTCCTGACAACCATCCCTATCACAATAGTCCCTCGGGTAGTAATTTCACCTACAACAAACAATTCCCTTCTAAAGTATCTACCCTGTGAAGAATCTCAGTAACTTATAGTTCATTCACTACAATCTAGTCTATACTTTCCAATGGAGAGACACAGGGGAGAGAGCAGGTCAAGATATGTCCTGTTTACTTTAGTTTTCCCTCTTTGAGTTGTGGATGAAAGGTAGACAAGCCAATTACTTGGGTGGAAATTGTCTTGACCTGGTGTGGGGTTAGCAGCCAGCACTTTCTCATCTGCTGCTAAAACTATTAGACTAGACATAGATAAGCAGATAAATACTCCTTCCCCTGAAGCCCATTTTTTCTCCAGATTAACAGTTCGTGTCTTTAGACTGTTACACATTTATTTTAAGGGTTGATTATACTCTAAGCATAGACCTATGAACAAGTCCCAAGACACTCTCTGATGTTCCCTTTCCCTGGGAACTAAGGCCAATTACTTGACCTAAGGCTGTAATGTTACCCATTTAAAATATATAGTTTTAACAGCTGGCAGTACATCTTTGGCTTCAGAAGCCCAGGGATAAAGAAGAAAACTCTCCAAGAAATACCAGAAAAATTTCCTCAGAAAGGGAACAGCAACTGAGGACTTTTTAAAAAAATTCAATTTCATTTAATTTTTAGTTCCAAATTCTCTCCTTCCCTTCTCTCTTTTCCCACCCATTTAGAAGACAAGAAAAGCAAAACCAATGACAAACATGTATAATCATGCAAAACCAATTTCCACATTAGTCATTGTCAAAAAAAATTGAAAAAGAAAGAGAAGAAAATATACTTTAATTTGCACTCTGAGTCCATCACTAGATTCCTGTCCTCCCTTTCCCACATGTTCTGCAGATCTCTCCCCATTGCATCCAATGGTAAAAGGGGGTTCAGGCCACTCGCCCAAGGGAAAGCAGGAGCCCCCCGCCTGCATAGAGACAAGGCTAGGTATTACCTGCCACCTTGGAGACGAAGCCCAGGCTGCGCTTGAGGTCTGAGCAGATGGAGTGGAGGCACCAGCGGAACTTGGCATCGCAGCGGTATTTGTTGGCCCCGCATGTGTCGTAACAGGTGTCCAGCTGGTTGCAGCACTTGGTCATTGCTGGGATCCCCAAGTCCATCTGAGAGAGAAGGGCAGGAGAAGGATCTTATATTCAGAGCCCTGGGCTCCGGCAAGAGTTCTTGAAGTCGAGGGTCAAGGCGGTATTGTTCCTCCAAATTCCTTATGAGTGACATCCTGACCCAAAGTCCTAAGGCTAAGAGAATTTGTTCATTTAGATCCATAGAGGAGCCTCATCGAGGAAGCTGGGTGGCATAGTGGATAGAGCACCAGGCCTGGAGTCAGAAAGAACTGAGTTCAAATCCAGTCTCAGATACTTATTAGCTGTGTGACTGTGAGCAAGTAACTTCACCCTGTTTGTCTCACTTTCCTCATCTGTAAAATGAGCTGGAGAAGGAAATAGCCAACCACTCCATTATCCTCACCAAGTGAACCCTAAATGGGGTCAGGAAGAGTCAGACATAACCGAAACGACCGAACAAGAAGCGTCACGGGGTAGTAGGTTTGGCAGATGGGGATACTGAGGGTCCTGGATTTTGCTACCAATTTACTATACGACCCTGAATACTCATTTCTCCTCTCTTTGGCTGATATGTCCAATATTTATTGAAGATCCATTCCTGTATATAGCATTGTAATAGGTACTGTACACGGTGGAGGCTGGGGAGATATGGAAGTAGTTGCCTGCCCTCAAAGAGATTATAATATCACATGTGAAAAAAAAAGAATACATTTAGCAAGTAAACTTTAGACAGGAATAAATCATCACAGCACAAAATACAGCATCAAACATGGAGGGCTTCCTGTTGGAAGCAGGTTTTGAAGTTACTGAGGGACACATTAGGAAACAGAGATAATTATAACTGTAAAGAATCATAGGTGCAAATGTGTGAGGGGCAGTGATCTCAATAGTTTGGGTTTAATCTGAGACCTGTAGCAAAAAGTAATACAAAAAGTAAGATTGGTGAGTAGGTTGGAAAGGCAAGTCTGCAGATGGTCCTGGACCTGGTATTAGGAAGACACGGGGTTCAAATCTCACTCCCAATGCTGATTGTATGACCATGAGCAAATCACTTAGCTCCAGAGACTTAGTTTCCTTAGTTTTAAAGCAGAAATAATAAACCTATGGCATCCTCTTCACAGAGCTATTGAGAGGTTCAATTGAGGTAATGTATGTAAATTGAAAATAAATCACAAATTCAAGAGATGATATTTTTTCAGAAGAGAATCGCAAGACTGGGTGACTAATTCAACATAGGAGGAAAAAGAGGAGTCTAGAATTACTAAAAGGTCTTGGGAAGCAGGAAGATGGTGGTGCCATCAACAGTGGCCAAATTAGGAGTGAGAACAGAAGGTACTTATTTGTGAAGGACGATGGTGAATGGATTAGCTGCAGAACTTCCTTACTGAGTCTTTCAATATAATAAGGTTCAGCAGCTTGCAGAGCAGATCATAGGCCACAGCAGCTACAACAGACTGTTTAAGCCAGATGTTATTAAATTAAAAGCCAGTTTGGGTGAGGAAGTCAACAAAGGTCGGGTTTATTCCCAGTATCTTTCATGTGAGACTTTCCTAGAATCATAGATTTAGAGCTTGAAGGGATCATCTTGTCCCACCCTCTCATTTTACGGATGAGGAAACTGAGGCCTGGATATGTTAGATGACATGCCTACAGTCTCACAGCTACTGAGTGATGGAACTGGGACTAATATCAATGACTTGGAAAAAATCATAGATGGGATACTTATCAAGTCTGCAGAAAACACAAATCTGAAAGAGAGAGAGAGAGAGAGCTCACACATTGGATGACAGGACCAGGATCCAAAAAGATCTCAACAGGTTGGGTCAAATCAAGCAAGATAAAATTTTATAGTGATGAACATACAGTCTTAAATTTCATTTGGAAAAAAATCACCTTCCTAAGAACAAGATGAGAGGTGTGGCTATACAGCAGCTTGGAAGAAAACCACTCTAAATCTTTTAGAGAGTTACAAGGTGAGTTGGCAGTGTGTGAAGGCAGCCAAAACACTTAATGAAATCTTGGGTGTGTAGTCATCGCCTCCAGGACTTGGGAGGTGATTGGAGTTCCTTTGTACAGAATATTATGTTCAGTTCTAGGCAATGTATTTTTAGGAAGGACAATGATATACTGGAGTGCAAGGACCAAGAGATATTTAGCATCAAGAAAGGAAGATTTGGGCAGGGGGGAAATAGTTTTCTTCAACAATCTGATGGGTCATCATGTGGAAAATGGATTGGATTTGTTCTGCTTGGCAGAAGGGACAGAAATGGGAGCAGGTTAGATGTCAGGTAAACTGACAAGGAGCAGAATGGGCTGACAGCGGCTGCCCTATCTTTGGTGGTCTTCAGTCAAAGGATCAGTGATCACACAAATGTGTTGCAGAGGGGATGGACTGAACTAGACAGATGCTAAAGTCTTTTCCAACTTTGTGTCTCTGAGATTCTGTGAGTGATCATGAAAACCCTTAGAGTTGAATTGGGGGAGGCAGCACTGTTTTCATACCTTTGATCCCAAACAAGGGCTTTATCCAAAAGGGATAGCTATCCCTGAGGAAGGACAAAGTAGCAGTCACCTACTTTGAAATGACTTTTTTTCTCCTGCAAAAAAGTGATTATGATTTTATTGGCAAGCATTTTCCCATGATCTTCCCACCAAGGGCCACCATTTGATTCATTCTCCGGATTAGTAAAATCATACCAGGTTGTAAGTAAAGTGTTAGCAGTACATACACTGTCCGGTACCTTGAGACCCAGGAAGTAAGAGCTGCAGCCGTTGGGCTCCTGAGGCTTGTAACCAGGTCTGGGTATTGGTGCCTTCCCTGGCAGAAAGGAAAGAGGAGAGAATCAGAAAGAAACCTTTAGCTGTGTATTACATCAGAGCATTCATCAAACAATGACAGTGACCGACATGATTTTGTTTATTTTAATGTTGTATTAATGATGTGGGCTTTGCCTTATCTGAAACCCTCCCTACTCTGAATTCTTCCCTATAGCAATAAAAAAAAATCACTTAAGCAAAACCTATAATATTATAATAACCACATCTAACAGTGGACATAACATTCTGAACCCATAGTGCAAGGGAAAGAAATGTGTTCTCATTATCTGTGTTCTACAACCAATGTTGGCCATTGCATTTTATCTGAATTCAGATGTCTTTTAGTCTTGTTTGCACTTATATTAATGTAGTCATAGCATATATTTTCCTGGCTCCACTTTCTTCACTCCATATTGGTTTATACAAGACTTCCCAAATTTTTATAAATTTCTCTTGTCATTTCTCATTGAGCAATAGTATCCAGTTACATTTAGATAAATAATACATACATAAAGAATTTATTAAGTACTTACTAGAAAAAGAAACAAAGAAAGGATGAGGAATTCAAGGTAAGGGTACCTGGGATCACAGTTCTGCTATTCATTACCCTTGTGACCTTGGATAACTCATTTAACTTATCTGGGCCTCATTTCCTCACCCGTAAAACGAGACAGTTGGACTAGATTCTGGCTAAGTTCCCTTTTAGTTCTAAAGCTATGACCCTATGAATCTAATATGAGATACATGAATGGTACACCCTTCAGTGTCTCCGCACCAAAAAAAAGAGGTGCAGGTGGGGCACATAGACCAAAGTCTCGAAATGTGAGCATGTGCCCAAGGCACCTTGTATCAGTCACCTTCTTTCTACCTTCACAGATCCTAAACCACTTTAGATCTTTTTTTTTAAGCTCTCAACCTCATTATTTTAAGGTTTTAATCTATCTCCCTTCCCCCAGCCTCTCTCCACTCTGAAGCATTCTTCTTATAGCTTTGTCTTCCTAATGCATTTGTCTGACCACGTCACCCCCAAAGCCATCAATGAGTCTTTACAATAAACTGCATCCTTAACTTGGTAGTTCAGTTTTCAACCTCCCTTTCCAGTCTTTTCTCACACCACTTCCCTCCATGCTCTTTACATTCACGCCAAACTGGACAACTCATCATTACCCTTCCATCTTCATGCTCACGACACACCTGACCCCAGCCATTTCTATATACAGAAATCTTTTCCATCCCTTTAGACCTAACTCTGGGGAACCTCCTCCATGAAGCTTTCTTTGATTCCACCCTCAACCCCCACCCTCCAGTGAGAAGTAGTCCCTTCCTCTCTCTTTGAATCTTTCCTGACACTTTGGTCATGCCTTAATCATGAGCTTGAAACAAGTGGGTATCATAGTGACAGCAGATGGGAAACTCCTTGAGAGTAAGGAACAGGTCAGAGATTCAAAACTGGAAGGGACCTTCAAGATCATTTAGCTTAGCCCCTTATTTCATTTTAAAATAAAGCTTCACTGATGCTTTTTGTTTTTATATCACAGTCATTTCTCGGTACCCCAGACCCCACCTCCACCCAAAAAGTAATAAAGAAAAAACAGTGAAGTGTATGCAATATTCTATACTCATAGACCCCCACCTCTCTATAAGGAAAGAAAAAAGGTGTATTTTTTTTAATCTCTTTGCTAAGTTGACCCTCATATTTTACAAAAGAGGTAAATAAATCTAAGAAAAGAGAAGTAGTTGACCCAAGACAGTCAACAGTTATGGATGGATTCCCCTTGGTAAGCCTTCAAGAGCTATATAAATGTGAACCATTAGATGATACCTAGACCCATGGCAAGTCAATGGTCAAACCAAGGCTGAAGTCAAGTACCTCCAATTCTTTGGCCTGCTCTCAGGCAACACCACTCTAAAGAGAAGAGGAATCAGTTTTTCATTGGGCACTCGGGTTTCAGGCTTGAAATGGATTAGTAGTGACCTCAGTGCTCAGGAATCTTTCCTCCATGATTTCAAAGCTAGAAGACAGCTGTACATTATCAGGAAAACTCTGGTAGAATTCTGACTTGGCAGAGGAGGCAGAGAAGCTCCTGGCTGTAGTCCAGACCAAGTATTCTAGATCTAGCTCTCAAGAGAAACTTTTTTTTTATTTAAAGCAAACTCATGTAGACAAGACAAAATAAGGTAGGATTGCAACAAGTCAGTAAGTATAGGCTTTGAGCAAGATAGTTCTGATTTTTCTGAGAATTTATATAATAACTCTTCGGTAAGTTTTTTTTTCTTTATTTTCATTGTAGCATTGATGTGGCCTGATATAATAGGGGAAGTGTTGAATATGGAGGAAGAAAGATCTGGGTTCAAATTCTACCTATAGCACTAGTAGTATAGATTTAGAACTCAAAGGGGCCTTGGGGATCGTCTAGACCAGGTGTGGCCTCAAGGCCACGTGTGGCCCTCTAGATCCTCAAGTGTAGCCCTTTAACCAAATCCAAACTTCACAGAACAAATCACCTTAATAAAAGGATTTCTTTTGTAAAAATTGGACTCAGTCAAAAGGCATGGACCTAGAAGGTCACATGTGGCCTGGAGGCCACAGATTCCCCACCCCTGGTCTAGAATAGTCCCTTATTTTAAATATGAGGAAACAGACTCAAAGAGGGAATCACACAATTAGTATCTCTAAATACAGTGTTCATTTGTGTGATCCTGAACAATTCACTTAGTTGCTCTGGGCCTCAGTTTCCTCATATGTAAAATGATGGGGTTGGGTAAGAAGGCCTCTGGGGTTCCTTCCAGGACTACGTCTACGATCCTATAATCTTTTGACTCCACATCCAGGGCTCACTGGTGTGACCCTGGACAAGTAAATTAACCTCCCTAGATCTCTGACTCCTCATCTATAAAAATAGGGATAATAATATAGTACCTGCTTCACATGTTTGTTGTGAGCGCAGATGAGATCATGTTTGTAAAGAGCTTTATAAATTTTAAAATCCTACATAAACTTCAGATATTATTGTTAACACAGTTATGCAAAGCTTTTCTAGACTTACTGTGGGCCCCAGGCCCTATACATCCCTGATGCCAATCAACATTTTCTGCCACAGCTTTGAATCAAGAACACACCTTTGATCACAAGAATACAATGAGTTTTGGAAAATCAATGGAGACTGAAAGACTGGTGAAATCTGACATCAAGTAGGCACTGAAATGCCATTCATTTGTGTTTGCTTTCTTTTGCTGGTATTTTTTTCTGCAAATGTGGAAGAATGCAACATTGTTCTCTCAGAGTCATTACAACATGTTTGCTTCGTACTTTTAAAAAATTATGATAAGTGTAAAAAGATCTATTTCTCCCTATTGCTTTCTTTGGGCTTTTTGTCCCCCGGGGAACAGATGACCATCCTTTCTTACACAGAATTTTTATAGTCCAGAGAATTTTAAGAGTGTTGGACTTCGAGTCAAGAGGACCTCCATCCAACAGGACCTGATTCAGGCAAGTCATTTAATTTCCCTAAATCTCGATTTCCTTATCTATAAAATGGGCCTATGTGACTACCTATCTCACAGGGGTGTTGAAAGGAAAATATTGTGTAAATTTTAATGTTATAAATGTTTAATGTTTAAATTTTAATGCGATAGAAAGGTGAGTTATTGTGGGGTATCCTTCATGCAATTTTTTACTTTCTAACGAGAATGGTTCCTTATCTCTGCTCTAAATATCTGTATTTCCCCAGATGTGTCCCTCCTCTCCACTCCCATCATTTTGTGCTTATTTTGTATATGTCCTATTTTTACTTATGTGTGAACATGTTGCATGTCCCCAGTAGAATGGAGGCTCCTTGAGGACAGGAACTATCTCACTTTCATATTTGCATCCCCAACAGCAAATGCGGTGCCTGTCACATAGTAGGTTTTTAATAAATGCATGTTGAATAAGAGCACAAAGTGGGAATCATAAGAAGGGCTTACAAGTTCTTGTTTTCTGCAGACTTCATTTTGAGATGTCAGTTAATTATCTCTGAGCTAGAGGGAAGAGGAGCTCCTCCCTTAAAGGAAACTTGATTGACACTCAAGGGTCATGTGCAAAACCAGCATGGGTCAGGAAAAGGCAACCTAGGACAGTAGAGAAAGGAATAGATTTCATGTCCAATAACCCTGGGTTCAAATCTCACCTTTGCCATTTGTGACCCCAGGTAAGTTACTCATTTAGAGGGTTTTGGATTAGAGTACAGCCCATGGAGTGTAAGATGAGCTGCCTCAGCTACTTCAGGCACTGCCTCAGAGCAGAAGGACTCTGATGCTGTGGGATGATGAAACAACCACCTTATTGATCCCTGGATCCCATGATGGCAGCAAAGGCGTCTACAACAAGATTTACCAATGACCCAGCAGGAGTGGACTGCTCAGTGGACCTTAAAGGAAGGGACCTTGCCCTCTAGCTCAAGCCTCTTTCCATAGGTCAAGGTCAGAACTCCTCAAGCCCCTCCAGGGTACTGCTCACCCAGCACAGAAATGGAGAACCAGCCACTCAAGTATGACAGTCAACACTCTTGTGATCTAGGTGAAATGGAGATTACAATTTCTGCTTCGATTCAATGCCAATCAGAGGGGCCTGTATTTCCTAGGGGCAACAGGGTGCCCCTGAAGCTGTTGATCAGAAAGGAGATGTGGTCTCTTGTGTTTTAGGAGTATCCCCACATATTTAAGTGTATAAGTGAAGTATATTTCATCCAAGATACTGGTTTTCTGTGACGGTTCATTAGAGACTCCACAAACAGAGTTTCTTCTTATGATGCTAATGTGTTAATTGTTAAGTAGCCTCTTGGTCAAATTTATTTTGAGTCCTGCTTTCATCATTCTTTCCATGTCTATTGAGATATACTGACTATCCCCAAAAACAAATCAGTAGAGAGGGCGCAGCTAGGTGGCACAGTGGATAGAGTGCTGGGGCTGAAGTCAGGAAGACCCAAATTCAGATCTAGCTTCAGACACTTACTAGCTGTG